TATATATTATATAAAATATTATATATTATATAAAATATTATATATTATATAAAATATTATATATTATATAAAATAATATATAAATATATAACGTAAAAAGCCATGTTATTTTTTGCTAAATAATAAGTTAACAGATGGCGCCTCATAGTTATGAGAAGCCATTTATCAAAACATTGATAACGATGTTACCCAATCTACGTTTCATTTGCTCATTTACCAAAACATTATTTTCTACAGACGAGAATGACCACTGAATGATTGAACCATACGTCGTCAGCGCGTTTTTTCAGTACATTTAATGCGTTCAAATACTGGGGTCAATGTAAAGCCCATAATTTATAAGCCAATGGTCATTACTTATTTTCCACAGACGAGAATGACCGCGTGCGATGTTTACTGTGTTCAATTCAGGATCAATATATAAGACTACCGTACTTTACTTATACATAGGTCTAAGTGCGTAATCCTTGATAACGATCCTTACGGTATTCTAAAATTATTCTGTTCTCCAAGATTCATTATTCAACTTCACCCGTCAGATGTTTGATGAACATCAAGAATGACCAATAAAACCATGGAAGTATCAGTATGTCTATAGTTTTTACTTTGCATGATGTAAGCCTATAATACAACACTTGGTCTAATTGTCGTTTTTTTCTGTACAGGGAAATATCAAAGAAAAACCGAAACCTCCGGAAAACCTGACAGTTTTTTCCGAATCCTTGCCGAATACAGGAGCGCAGACTATTGGACATTTGCAGAAGACTGGTCAGGCAAAACCACTGGTCACGTTACAGCATCAATTTAGTCAAACACATCGACGAAAACAAGCGAAGGATTTGTTATGTTACGATTGATTTATTACAAACTTTTTCTTCAGCTGGACAATCCATCCATTGTGCGTGCTTAATTGACAACTCGTCTACGTTTATAGGCCGACTGTTCTCGGCACTGTTGATATGGCTATAAAAAACATTAGACGTTTTGAGCCATGTTGGACAAAGACTTATATACCCAGTGGTGGCGCCAGCGTCTAAAATCTGGGGGAGAGGGGGTGAGGAGTGATGGGTAAGGTAAAAATTTACTGAGGGGGTGGTTGAATATATTTCCCATAGCAGACCGGGAATACAATTATAATTTGTAAAATCAAAACATAAACAGTACACTTCTATCCATATGCTTGTTAAAGGAAAATTAACACTTTGCTGGTATTGATTGTGATAAGCGCACTACTGGATAAGCGACTGCCCTGAGTCAACTTCATTAAAGTGACTGATATGATTTGGGTGGAAGAAGGTGGGGGTGGGTATGGGAACTGGAGGAAAGAAAATTATCTAGGGGACTTTCCCCTCACTCGTAACGCCATCACTTTCCCTGTACCTGATCCTGAGTGTAAAATTAAATAGGCCTGTATCCATCTTAGCGGTCTATCGTTTAATAGAATGGCATATTATGCCCCTTTAATGTTAACGTTATCAATGATGCTGGAATTGGAAAAGCACATTGATGAGAGTTATTTCATAAAAAATAACCATTAAGTTTGACGGTATCAACTATTGGAGGAAGTACCTCCTCTTACTGTTTAGTGTCTTGTAAGAGGCATCTTGTTAATGCGTTTCCGACTGTGTTTCAAAAAGTAAATACTAGGCTATACTCTGCTTTGATACACATGCGAATAGCAAATCGAATCAAATTCATATCAAATATATTCATCTTTCTATACAATCTCATCAAACACGAGCAATATAATACACAGTATCATGTAATGAAAAATCAAGTGCATAAATATATATAATGATATATTATTGTCAATAGGCACACTCTAAACTGTCTTGCGGTATATTTATATATATGAACATATATATTATAGACCTATATAATAAATTGTGCCAATACACAAAACATCTTAGCACAAGAGTGTGCAGTATTAGTTGCTTGAATCGGAGTTGTATTCCCAACAAAGCCTCAGTGGTTCAGATGGTTAAGGCGTTTGCGTAAAAGCAAAATGTCCTGGTTCGAATTATTGTTGGGAAAAAAGGTTCTTTTGTATTTCATATAAGTATACTTTATATGCCTATAATAGGTTATTAATATTTATAATTATAAATGGCGGTGGTGTTTTTTTGAAGGACGTTTAATAAACACACGCATATACGGTATCTGTTGAAATCCCTACATGTACGTTTGAAAAATTAGTATTCTAAATATTTTGCCGATTTAATGCGTTGCTAATGCCGAATTATTTAAATACCAACGTCGCTGTTCGTTGAAATAGTAATTTCTATAATGGTAATTTCAATGAGTATTATCCACAATGGAGTAGAAAGAGCGTAGAATTGTTTTTGATTTCCGTAGCAGGTGTCCTATGGGACAGCTATACTTAGCGGGATTTTAATCGTACAAACTCATTAATGCACGTACGGTATATGGTATTCGTTTTAATAGATGCTCATACAATATTTATTTTTAACAAAGAAGTATCGGTATGTGAGATGTGTCTAGTATTGCCAAAAGTAGTTTATTGAGTACCTCTCAGCTTTTAAGTTATATATATATATAATATATGATATTGAACATATATACATATATATATATATGTATATATATATATATATATATATATATATATAGGCCTATGTATATATTACATGTAATTAGTAATATGTTTCCAAATCAGCCTTCACTGTAAATGTTGTATATATAGATATATGAATAAATGTTAATTGAATAATAAGTGACGACTTGTTTTGTTTTATATTTTTAAAAATCGCACTGTCATTTTCACTCGAGCCTCGAGTTTCTGTCTTGAAATGAAGTACCGGTATCATTGTAACATCAAAATGCGAAACACGATAAAAGAAAGCATGGTGAAAACATTGCCCATAACTTCACTTTTATGACTGTGTGTTGTAATATTTGTTGACGCCTGACTGCTGGTATAAATAATGTGAAGAACGGATATAAAAATACCCTGTTTTGGAGATACTGTACTGTATTGAAGAGGTTTACTCATATGATAAATATTAATTCACATTAATGAGGCAGCGACGTCATGTAGTCCGGACGGTAATAAATTTATTGATTGTACAGTATAATGCAATCGCGTTTTATTATTTACATACTAGTGTATTGTTGTTGATCAAATAATCTGTACAGTATTCAAAACTTGTTACACAAAAAACATTGACCCCGAACCTGACCTATTAATAATAAGTACAGCGCCCCATCTGTTTGTACTTGATATAACATGTTCGGTTTAATCATCAAGCTACCATCGAGGAGTATAATAATCTTTCCTAAGCATAAACGAAACGGATATATTTTTCACGAATTCATGCAAAATAAATTACGTCTGGTCTTCTGGTAACTTATGACAGGTGTATTCTGCTAAAACCATTAATGATATATTTGATAGGCCTGTTTTCATTGATTTGAATAAAATATTTAGCCGCATGGACTGTCAACAGTAAGCCTTCACTGTTCCCTGCACAGAGAACATGGCAAGCAAGATACCGGGCACACAATAGTTAACAATCCTCACATTCCGAAGTTTTTTTTTTCTTTTACACAGAAGTAGTTAGTACACTGGACAAACGGCTTAATATTCCGATCCACAGGGCAACGTAATTAAAACTAGTGCCTTACACACGACACAGTGGAAGATCGACATCTTTGTACTCTATATAGGATCTGTGGTTATGTGAACCAGGAAAACATACTCCAAAACCAAAAACACTTTACCACTTCCCCACAATGTGATGCCCTCTAGTTTACATAGTAGTGGTGTATGGCTAATGTGGGGGGAAAAACCACAGCAAAGCTTTTGGGAAAAGTCGAAATTTTCACGGACCTGGTGTTTGGATTTATGGCAAAATTGAATACAAGATAACTAGACAAAGTCTGAGATTTGTTCATAATATATTTACCAATTTATTCACCAATAATCTATACAACAGATCAACACTAATCCTATGATAGATGTATGCCTACCCTTAATTTATATAAACATTATATATTATATTACTGATACAGCAGGTTCCTAAATAAAACCCCAACAGTATATTATTTGTATACCAACATACAATAGAACCTAAGAAATGATATTCAACTTTCCTGCTTTGTAATGTATCTGCTTTTTTACTATATCCCAAAATTTAAAAAAAAACTAATTTTCACATTACAGTTCTTTAATACTGATGATAACCAAAGCTTCCACTAAATTTCACAATAATATAAATTTAATACAATAAATTTGTTATATTAATTAAAACATTTATCTTTATATCGTATTTTGATACACATCTTTATAGCTTTAATGTAATATATAATTAATATTTTATCTGATATTTTACCAATGCTTCACAAACATCAATAACAAAACATCTTATAAAGCCACTCGAATGAGTTTAAAAAAAAATAACATTTACATACAGACTTGCTAGGGTTTACAATATATTTAGTTTCTTAAAGACTGATTCACATTACAAAATGTAGACATGTTTTTTTCTGCAATGTATTGCTTTTTCCACACTATCAAATTGTATGCGACAGAAAACTGTAATATGCCCATATTTTGGTGTAATATGGCATCATGATGCTCAAATACAGTATGGGCCTATCACACAAATCTGTCACATAAAATGTGAGTGTAGACAATGCTTCAGAAACTCAAGGTATATGCCACAATTTTCATTTCGAACCATTTTTAATTAAATCCAATCACAGAAGAGAAGACAAACTATCACCAAAATGCCAGGGTACATTGTCATTATCTTCAGACGCAGCTAATCAATTATGGAAAATGACGTCGCATAGACAATCCACTCTGAGAAAGGGTACAGTACCTTTAGTAAACAGAAATTTGCTAGAGAATGCCAGATGCACTACTCAAGACTCTCTTTTTTGAATGGCACCATATACATGGAATGAAAGATTGATTGATAGAGTACTGCATTTTAAAATATAGTATAAAATGAATAAAGAATAAATGTTTATTATAATGACATGGATATATTCACATTGACATAAAGAAGAAAGAGCCAGATCAGACCCACCAATCATCACTTCACAAAAAAGGTTCAACCACAGTGATCCACATGTTTATATAGTTTCATCACATTTTTTATGTCACCATAAATATAGCCATATCATAATAACTGCAGATTTTGTGTTGATGATATGCTAGGTTCAAAAAGGTAAATTTTGATCAACTTAACACAACTTTATTCACGAGTACAAGGCTAAGTAAAATGTACATAAAGCTACAGTTACACTGATGGCCACTGACACATTAACTTATGTTGTAGATTTATCTAAATGCTTCTTTGACGACTTCATTCCCGTCTTCTTAGCTTGTGCCCTGCTGTAATGTTTTTCCTAAATATTCCCTGAAACAGACAAAAAAATTTTTTTTTCCAGTGCCATTTTGAATAAGATAAACTTATGTTAAGATCAAGACTATGAAACCTAAGTACTGTAGTCTTAACACAATTTTTTCCCTTCAGTGGATTATTATTGCATTACTGGGTTGTTTTCGAGTTTTTATGTTGCCTACATGTGAGCTTATTTACTGTGTGTGCAACAATTCAATGTTCAATATGATGCCTTTCAACAATATTTATGTATACTAACAGGTCATAGTTAATACTACAGTATGACAGATAAACTAAGTATATTATCTCGGAATTGTAAAGGCCTTAATAATATAAATAAAGAGAGAGAAAGTATTCAGATTCTTAAAAGTTGAATGCCCAAATTTATTGTTTACAAGATGTTCATTTTACTTTAAAAAAAGTACAGATCGGGCGAGTCGAGTGGCCGAGTGGTAAAGCAAGGGTGCCCTAACTACAGTTTTTAGCATCGGCGCTGGGTCCAGCCACTCCTCGCCCAGGATTTTGTTGGTAGAACCAAGTCTTCTTGGATAAGGACTTAAAATGGAGGTCCAGTGTATACATCAGCTCGTGTGCACTTTAAAGAACTCATTGCATCTTTTGGAAGAGTAGGGGGTTACCCCGATGTTATGGTTCATTTCAGACCCTGTCGTTGTAGAATGATGTGAACATGTAGCTACTATAAGTCTCGTCGCAGTAGTTGTCATGGCTACTGATGTAGACACAGAAGGTACGATTTCTGCATATACAATAGAAAGGAAATAGTGTTTGAAAGCATTACAGGTATTGCATGTTTTTCAGACATACATTGAAATCGTTTCCCCATCTATAACTTTTGCATATATAGACCTATTATATTAAATATTTTTCATCATTTTCAGTTTATACATTCATTTAAGCATTACGACAACGACAACATGGAATTGTTTATTTTCAGCCATACTTTTATATCTGTCTCTTATACACATCAAGCCGCAGAAGCAAAGAGTATGCAATGTAACCATCTAATTTATTTTCAAATCCTCATTCTTGAAAGTGAAATTCTATATTTTGGAAATTTTGCATGAAATCTGTCAACCACGTTGTCATGGTCGAGGCTGCTTCACCTATCACGATGTATTCCAACCATCATGAGGCTATCTAAATGAGCATTTGTCATAACAGAACACAAATTATTTTTAATTAATCTCATTAAATTATTATTATTATTATTATTGTTATTGTGGTTGTTGTGATGAAAAGTTAACACTAAACGATATGGTGGCTAAACGAATATTACATGTAAATTTTTTTTTTATTTGTTTGTTCCCCGACAAAATTTATCGTCTTCCCCGACAGGGGGAGCTATGCTATAGAACTCCCAACCCCCCCTCTGGCGCCACCCCTGCCTTTAGACTGTGAAACAATAATGGGAATATAGAGAATGCCATATCAGTTTTATTTAAAATGCAAAATACAAGGCAGAATTCTGTAGCACGGAGTGTTGAAATATATGACAATAAATACAATTATAAATTTGTATGACCCAAATTTGTATAACCCAGTCATTTATGATAAAATAGAAAATATTAATACAAACTTCAAATATAAAAAAATGTATTACATGTGGTGACTGTAACCTTGTACAAAACCCAAAAAGTAGGTGCATTCAATTACAAAAATGTAAATAACCCAAAAGCAAGACAGAAAGTTTTGGAAATGATGCAAAATCTAGATTTAAAAGATTATGGTGTGAATTGGAACATTAAGGAAATAGAGCAGCCACTCCATAGAGTGCATAATTCGGCCCTGTGCCTGAATACAGTACCAACAAATTTGCAGGCTGTGTATAATAGGCAAAACTGCAGCATACCCTGAATGAAATAATGGAATTGGCAGTCATATTCAGGCATATTATTTCCTTTGGTGGCGCAGAATACCTTAAAAAAATAATCATCATATTCAGCCACATTGTTTTCTTGAGTGCTGCCTTAATACATGGAGCAATTCCATTATCTTCTTTTATGCTTGAGGGTAAAAAAATTAAATTTTTACGACCCTAACCTTGTCGTTTTACCTTTTCTTCTGAAAATTGAATGGTGCCTTTCTTCGATTTTTATGCCATTATTATACTATTTTACTAAATTTTATGAAGATCCATTCATTAGTTTTTGCATAATCTTGTTAGCAGACAGACAGACAGCAGGAAATACTGTACATAAACATACACATGGCACCAAACAAAAGCAATAAAAAAGGCCAGATTGGATATCTTCTTCTTCTTCAATTTCACATGAATTACTGTTTTTTGTTAGAATTGTGAAATTCTCCCCAGTATATAAATAAATATCCCTTTCTGAACTTTAAGGAGGAAATGAATTTTGGAAATTTAGTAACTTGTTACAGGATAGACTATGTAGAACTTGTAAAATAAATTATAAAACAATTCTCGACCAATACAAAATAAATGTAGATAATTTAAATAGAATAACAAGATACACTATAAATGATATATTTTTATGGGAAATTTTAATTTCAATGATAAGATGTCAAACAATAAATTATTTATCAGACGGGAAATTCCACAATGTCTATGAAAAAATGATGATATAATTATTGATAATAAGCTGATCATGTAGAAGAAATTGTATAAAAAAGGATTAGTCTTTGTTAGGGATATAATTATAGACGTATTTAGTCTGTTGACATATTCTTTTTAGTATATGAAGGAATCAAACAAGTAGTGATGTCATATATGAGCAAACATAATATTAGAAAATTTACGAGAGCCAAATATTATTCAATTTACCCTATTAGTATTATTCAATTACAAATTTCTAAAAAGAGATGCAACCTTTCCCATCGTACTGTACTTAATTCAAAATCTACAAAATTGTCAGGTTAATTCTAAATGGGAAAAAATATTAGATATTTAGTTTATTAACAATGGTAAGTGTTTAGCATAATACCAATCAAATGTACATAAAGTACTGATCTCAGATGGTTGCAGTATAGAATAATACATAATATATTACCAACAAGAAATTACCTCTACAGATTAAAGTAAGTTGATTCACCTCTATATACTTTTTGCAAGCATTTCCCTGCAACAATTGACCACATTTTTTTTAATTGTGAAAAGTATACAAAATATCGAGAGATTTGGAAGGCTGAATAAATAAAAAACTTCACATACAATTATTTTCCAAGCAAAACATAATAATGGGTATAAATGGGAAAAACAAAAAAAAAAAAAACCAAAAAAGCAAAAACTCTATAAATGTTATTATGTACAGAAATAGTAATAATTGGAAAGTGCTACTATATATCAAAACCATAAAGAGAGAAATTCTTTTTGTTTTTAAATAAAAATAGGAACAAGATATTATAATCGTATCAAGCATAGCCCTTCAACAAAAAGTTCCTCATATAGTATGAGCAAAGAAGAATCTCTGGCGAGATTCAAACCTGCAACCTGCATAACAATCAACATGATTAAAAACAGAGATTATGACTTAGGTATGTAGAATCAACACTAATAAACAGATAATGCATGTTTAACTGATCTGGGATTTATGGAACTCACATTAAGTGCAAATAGTTGGGAAAGGCTAAGGATGGAAAGAAGAAAAGCAAGACATTTGACTATAAGGATAGGCAAAAGGATAACGAAGGAGGAACTTACCAATTGTGAACCATTAATTTCTGTACAGCTAGCAGTGCCTCGTAGCGTACATTAGGATCTTCATGAATCATATACTGCATTACAAGCTGTTTGCCACCCAGTTGCTCTATCACACTAAAAAGCAAAGTAAATACAACACTTTAATCATAACAATTTTGTTCAATTAAACAAAAAAAGTAAATAATATTTTTAACTTACAAAAATAACTATTATTACAGTATATTATTATTTGTTCATCACACAACAGTAAAGTAAATTGAAAAAACAAATATAACTTTAATGGAGATCATTAGAGATACAATATTATTAATACAGTGTGAAAGTCAGGGTTGAGTACCCACAATTACGGCTTATGACGACAATAAGTACAGTGAATAATTAGCCCACTACTACAGTCTTTACTGATAAAACAGGTTTTTAACTACTTACTTTTTTCCTCGTGGATAATGCCGGACATATTCCCCAAGATCATGAGCACTGACAGCCAGAATGAGGGGATCCTTAGAAGTTTCTAGAAGTTTTGTAAGTATCCTACAATGACCAAATGTAACAAATTACTGTACCTAACATTGCGACAAATTTGTACTTTGTTTTATAAAATTCAGCAACCATTAAGAAAGGATATACTGTAGAACACAAAATTAAGAAAGTGTTAGTGAGCCTAGTAAGAACGAAAAAGCTTGAAGAACATTGGCCCCACTAGGATGTGGTACTTTGTCACCAGACAATTATGTAAAAGATAAGATAGGGTTTTATAAAGCTCAGTCCAGACTGTCAAATTCTCTTTGAAAACAAACTGATGATGTGCCTATATATAGTCATGATGTGATGTCATCAAGACCATATTTAGGCTTGAATTTGATATACTTGAGGGCCTAAGACTAATTATATTACATGATAATATAATTATAGACTTTTGAAATTTAGTTTTAACCAGAGCCTTGCAGGCCTATACATGATACATGACTTAAACCAACCATATATTTTATGATTAAGTCATCATAAATGACATAATCAGAAAATAT